GAAGGATACTCACTGAAATRTTAATGAGGTTCCCTGCAAGTGGTAGGATTCTAGATAGTTTTTATKTTTTCTTTATTATTTTGAATTATTTTGAGTTTTTAAAATGAATGTGTGTATTTTTACAAAAATAATAGCTTTTCCAAAAACAAAAACAAGACAATTTGGTACCAAATAAGCAACTGTATTCCAAACTCTACCTCAGTCAAACAAGAAGCATACATTGAATAAAACTGTGCCCAATGCGTGGATACCATCCATGTTGCTTTCCCAACTCCAACTGTTTCTTCATGAATCCTGCAGATAGTTCAATAGCAGCTTGCACTCATGTCTTCCCAAAGCATCATTCTTAATTTTTGTAGAAACAAAAGCTGACTTTTTGTTTTCATAATTAATTTGTTTATATTCAGTCCAATTATAATAATTACATTAATAAGTCTAAGAGGTTGATAARCACTAAGTAACTCTACTTATGAGAGCAGAAACGAGTGGGTGGCTTAGATCAGGTTCCCAGAAAACAGATACTGAGATGGAATCTTGGAGATGAGGAGTTCACTGATAATTGTTAGTAAAAACATCAGTAAAGGAGAAAAGAAAGCCCAGAATCGGGCAGAGGGAAAAATGTGATGCAGTAACAATRGAGGCCCCCATCAATACCAAGAAGGGTTCTAGAGCTGAGATGATTCTTTAAAGTTGTACCAAAACAATGCAAGGATCATAAGCTCCTCTGTCTACTGACTGGTCTTTGGATSTGGGCTGCCTCTGGGCCAGGAGTATAACTTGAGCAAGGCAACTTCCTTTTCCTAAGGACAATTGCTGGAGAGGAATTCAACAGTGAGCCTTTCAACACTCACAGAAGCTCATGGGATGGGAGTCTGAGGCCTGGAGATTGACAAGAGTTGTGCCCACAGTAACCACAATAGTCCAGGTTCACACTTGTTGGATCTACTTGCTTCATATAATGTAATTACCTTATATGGAGATGATTCCTCCAGGATTCTGATTGGTCTTATTTCCTGAAAAGTTTATAAAAGGAAGGTTAGTGGAATGAATGATATCTGCCACCATCACAGCTAATCTCAAGGCCACATCTGTTACTCATAGTCTCCTCTCTATTTCTCAATCTAGATTCCTCTCACTGTCTCTCAACACCTTGGCCACTCCAGTGGCTGGTATCTTGTGGCAACCCAGACTCTCATTCTAAAATGGACTGGATCCTTGTTACCATATCCTTCCTACTATATCCTTTGTCCATCAAAATGAACAGAGGAGTGCTAAAGAAAAAGAATTATTCAACGACACTTGCTAAAGCATGATAAAGCTGACTATTCTGGAATATCATGATAGGTATAGGGACCAAGTGGAAATTTAAGGCTAAGGATCAGGGTAGGGGTCAGTGGATGTGCAAAAATTACTAAGAGGAAACTCAGTCTAAAGGGGAAATTCTGGCTGAACTGACATAACTAGATTCTTGCTGAAGATAGGCCAGATTGATTAGATGGTCAACTTGGAGATAATGGGGGATAATGGACCAGACCAGAGATACAGGATGACCAGATATTGAGGGAGACGGGATCTTACTAAACTGAGTTTTCAGGATTCTTTGTTAAAACTGGATTTTATAAAGAAGCACAGAGATGAGTCTATGAGAAGTTTCAGGAAACTGATTAAAGTTTGGCCAAGCAAAGAATCTTTATCAAAAGTACTAAGAAATGCTTCTGTGGATTTCTTAGGTGTAAAAATTACTGTTTCCTGCTTTGGTTATGAAACATAAGTGCTATTTCCTTCTGGGAAGTAAGTTCAATTACTCTTTAGTAGGTTGATTCTTTGGTTATCTACTAAACTTTTAACACAAGGAGCCCTAAGTGACTGGACAATACCTGTAACTGGATATTTACTGGTTGATAATAATTCACCTAATGGAAGCTTTGAGTCACCTTTGAGAACCAAAACCTTTAGACCCAGACACAGCCTGTCATTGCAAGGAGAAGAAGGGTAAAGGCAGAGGCCAGTGTTCCACTCTGGTTCATCGTCTCATACAGCCGACTTGCTGGGAACACAGCAGTATATCTGGTCACTTATTTGRGGTGCACACTGTGTCCTGGAATGTGGAGTCCTTTATTCACAGAATATCATGTGCAAGCTGACACATAGCTTCCCCTTCAAAAGACCATTTTATTATTCTCTTGGATTGGCAGCTTCTGGATGATGTGGCTTATGAGAGGTCCAGTAAATTAGGTCTCTTGTTCTGAAAGGATGTAGAGAGACTAGGCTGGTTATTTGAAGTTCAGATACTGGTGCTGGCTGAGGTCCTGTGATGAGAAAGTCGATATATGTCCAGAATAGATCTGGTTCCACTAAAGATAAACAACTTGTCAACAAGTGTTCAATTGATCTTCTTGAGGGATGATGCTGTATTGGGAACTCACCTTGGGTCTATCTGGAGGGAAGGTTAAACTTTTTTTGGTCTTGGTAACTGGAAACCCATGGTGAGGGACCCATGTATAGTTTTCTTTGCTGTCATCGTAGTCATTCAGTTCCTGAAGGCAATGTGCCACCACTGGGCTGGGTGGCTGAGTGATAGGCTGCCTGACATCAACTGACCATGTCATTTTGTTTACTTAGTCATTTTGTGCCTCCTCCATAGTGGGTACCTTCTGGGGGGTATGAACATGTAATACCAAGATATTCACACTTCATGGCCCATTCAATAGGCTTGCCCAGGTGCTTCCCCCCAAGACTCCCTTCTTTCTTTTTTTCTGAACTGTGTCCTTCCTGACTTCCCAGCTAAACTAYACCCATGGACTTATTGTCTATTTTTATCTTCAGCCCACCTCTCTTACACAAAGACAATGACAAGGTACACTAACTGAAGCTCTCCTCAATGTTTCCATTCACTACTGTTTACRAGTTCCCCTGATTTAGGTTTAACCCAAAATTTAAATTTTTTTTAGTTTACCTTTATTTTATTTATTTACTTTTATGTGGTGCTGAGGATTGAAACCAGTGCCTCATACATGCTAGGCAAGCACTCTAACACTGAGCTACAACCCCAGCCCCGGTTTAACCCAAATTTTAACTATTCTTTTCTGCATAAGATACTCCTAAGTAAGTAAAGATACTAGTCATAGACTGTAGAAAATATTGATCATAGACTGTAGAAAATACTTATAAATTACATATCTGACTTATATAAAAATGAATAAAGAAATTTGAAAAGTCAACAGTAAGAAAATAACTCAAAACAAACATGGAAAAATTTTTAATAGATACTTCACCAAAGAGGATATTAGGATGGCAAGAAAGTACACCAAAAAAATCAATCAATGTCATTTGTCCTTAGAGAAACACAAATTTAAATCACAGAGAGATACCATTATGTACCTATGAGAACAACTCTAGAATGGATTCTTGATGATGTCAATACAAAACAAAACAAACACTGGGAATACAAGATGGTACAGGCATTTTGGAAAACAGGTTAGTGGTTTCTTATAAAGTTAAACAATAGATTTAATCATCAGCCCAACAATCTCACTCAGATATTTTATTAATGATCACCCTGAATTGGAAGCATCCCAAAAGTCCTTTGGTTAGTGAATAAGCAAACTGTAATCATCCACACAATACAAAACTACTCAGCAATTTAAAAATGAACCACTGATACAAATAAGTAATAGAATAATTTCAAAAGCATTTATATTCTTTGAGAATAATCCAGAGTTAGAAGACTAGGTACCACATGATTCCATTTATATGACAATTTGGAAGAGACTTTCAAAGCAGTGGTTGCCAGAGGCCCAGGGTGGAGAGTAGGAGATTGGGGGAATGGAGTGATTCTGCCTCTTGATTTTTGCGGTGGTAGCATGACTAAATGCATTTTTCAATACTAACATAACTGAATACCAAAAATAATTAATTTCACTACATATAATTTATTTTTTAAAACTAGAGTTTTCCAGTTTTAAAACAGCTGATGCTTTTACTGGCAGTAATCCACTATTTGRTCTTACCTGAAAACCAGCATCTTTAAATCTGTTGCTATATAATATAGACCATCTGTTTTAAAATATCTTTCTTATGATGTCACTTTTAAATATTGGTATGTCTAGAAATATATTGGAAATAAATTAGACTTGACCTCAAAGGGCCTACATGCTTAATTGTATTTGTTTCCCTTCTTACTTGGAAATATAAATTTAAGTGACAGATAGAGAAAAAAGATCATTCCCTTGTAAACAGTTCAACCATCCACCCCCGCAGCCCACCCAGTATTCTGGGGGTGACACAGCTTCCATTCTTGCAAAGTTTCCATGTCTTTCTGAGCTCCTGTCCCCAAGGAGGAGTATGCATCTGTTTGGAGGGGCTCACACACCACTCCGAATGCTTTTTACCRGGCAGTGAAACCCAGGACCCCTCCTCCATCCTGGAAAGTGTTCTGCTCAAGGCCCACGCAGGTTTATAAAGGTAATGGTATAACTTTCCAGTACAGTAGTCCTAATGACCAGAATGGCTTTGTACAAAGAGCAAAATCTTGCCAGTTGCCACCCTCCCCCAGCTACTCGGCATATTTTGTTTTTCAGACTTGGATCAAGAGTAGGAACCGAATCTCTGCAGTGGTCTTCATATGAGGAAGTTTCCCTCATCTACGGATCCCTCATCCACGGGATGTTCATAATCCTTCAAAGCAGAGAATCATCCGCAGCAACTTCTGCTATCAGAAAGATACAAATAATAAACTGAATAACATTTCCTTCCCTTCCACTCAGATGTTTGTTAAATGCTTTGTGCCAGAAGCTTCGAAATATAAAAACTGCGACCCATATCTAAGTTCTCTAGCTCTAGCATGGTGATACCCCAGGTGTCCCCCTCCCAGGGATCTCATCCAACGGGCTCTGAGGCGGCTGGCGAGGCGGCTGGCCTTCCCGCCGCCGGGCTCCGGCCACCAGGGGGCGCTGCGGCCCGCTCTCTCGGGAGCGGCCGAGCCAGCCCGGTGGGTGTTTCTCTCTCCCTCTCGCGCTCTCTCCTCCCGGCCTCACATCCGGGTCTGGAACGCGGCCGCCGCTGTCAGTGTTGGTGCGGGCGCGTTGGGGCCGGGCCGGGGCTCTGTAAATGGCGGCGGAGGGAGGCGGAGCGGCGGCCACGCTCAGCCCAGAGCCCCCGAAACTTTAGACGCGAAGCCCCACAACTTTCCGGGAAGTGCTGCCGCTCCGGGGGCGTGGACGGAAGGGGAAGCCGAGGCGGGAAGTCTTGGGGAAGCGGCGGGGAGCGGGGAACCTCGAACCCGCGGCGGGGGCGGTGGCTGAGTCCGCCCGTGCCTCGCGCCGCCGCGGCCCCCGCCTCCTTCTCCGCGCTTCGCGGCTGCTGGAGCCGGGGCCSCGCGCGGTGCCTAGCCCGGGACTGCGCGGGGCCTCGCAGGCGGCGGCGCGCGGAGCCCAGCCGAGCCCCCTCCTCGCGACCTCCGGGCCCTGTTGCTTGGGCGCAGCCGGCTTGCCAGAGGCCGGGGCTGAGGCTCCGGGCGTCTGCGGGGACCGAGGAGGAGGCCGGGCCGCGCAGCCACGCGCAGACCCGCCGGCCCGGGGTCGTGGGGCCGGGTACCSGGTGTTGCATGCGGGGCGGGGCAGGGCGGCCGCGAGCCGGAGGCGAAGATGGAAGGCTTAACGCTGAGCGATGCGGAGCAGAAATATTACTCGGATCTCTTCTCCTACTGCGACATTGAGAGCACCAAGAAGGTGGTAGTCAACGGGCGGGTGCTGGAGCTGTTCCGGGCCGCGCAGCTGCCCAACGACGTGGTCCTCCAGGTAACGCCGCGTCCCGGGTTTGGCTGGCCGCCGAGGGTAGCTTCCCCGCGGCTCGGGCCTCCAACCTCCTTCCTCCGGGAGTGGGAGTGGGCGCCGTTTCCAGAAGGGCTGGTGGTGAGCAGGTTTCCCCCAGCTTTCCAGCTGCGGGCAGGGGCCGCAGGTGCCCGGGTGGCCGCGACTTGCGCTGCGGCCGAGGGGGAGGGGTCGTTCCTAATTAGAAGAAACTCCTGCTATGGAGGTAATGGTCTGAGGAGCCCTGACCCCTCATCCCTTGACTGCTCCTGAATCTTTGTTTTCCAAGCACTGGAAGAACACTTACCATGAAGAATCTTGGGTAGTTAATGTGTTTGAATCTTAGATTCTGGTACATGCATAGCTCTTCGGTTCCTGCGGGGTAGGTTACCAATATAGGCGAAATGTTATTTTAATTCTTGAATTAACCCTGACGACCTCATAACGTGATTTTTGTAGATTTAAGAAGATAAAAAGCAGTTTTTAAAWGGAGACAATTCTTAGGGAAATTAAGAAATTCGAACTTTCAGCTAATTGTTTACAAGTAGATTTAAAAAAAAAAAAACTTTTAAGTATTCATAGAACGTGTGGCTGATGTAAACTGGACAGTGTTTTCCAGTGGACATTGGATTATATTTGTTGAAATTTGTGGATTTAGGTTGGGAGGTAAGTATTCAGTAGCTTGAAGTGGAATGTGCRTGCTTGCTTCAGTCTGTAGCCTTGGAGGTAAGCAGGGTAAGTTAAGGCTTCTTTACCGTATCTGTTTTTAAAGCAGGAGGCTTCCTAGAAGTTCTTRTCTAGTGTATGTGGTGAACATCAATGTTACTGTTTAATGATTCATAGCTGCTAGTAAGAGTCTCACTACACGTCTAGAACACGTTTTAAGCTTTCATTGATCCAAACCAGTTTTTCAGATTTCCAAAACTGAAAGCCAGACACATAGGTGTAATGCAGTGGACTGCAGTAGTCTTGAGGCCTGGGTCTTTGACTTCATCTCTTGTCAAGTAAAATTGTGACTTTGGGTCAGGCGCTTTCCCTCTGAGAGCGTGAGTACTGTATATTCATTTGTAGATAAAAGTCACTTATCTTCTAATAAAAATTATGTAAAATATAAAAATATCCACACATACACTTCTGATTTAGAAATTACCTGTGCCTTAACTAAGTTTGATCATTTTGCATAATCTTGTATATTTTATATTGAATTTTTTAAAACCTGGGGAGAAAAAGTTGAGTTTGTTAGGTACCGTGAAGGACAGGTAGGAGGCCAAAATTCATGCTGTTGGAGAGACAAATGGTAAATATTTTAGTTGTCATTGGCTACATATAGTCTCTACTTTTTTCTTTTTTTGACTTTTAAAAATGTGAAAACCATTTTTAGCTCAGGAACATAACAAAACAGGGTTTGTAGTATGCTGACCCTGTTAAAGAATGGTGGTAGTGTGAATAACTGCACTGTCCCCATATAGATTTGAAGTAGGACTTAAAGAGGTCTGGTCAGAACATGCTGGCTAATGATTCTGCTCTTTTTATGGAACAAAACATACCTTCAGGTCAGTTAGGAACTAAAATCAGAAACCTCCTATGTTCTATTTTGGTTTATGTCTTTGGGGCAGGAAGAGTTGAAATAAACTGACTTTTCATCTTTTTAATGGTGCACAAGACTTGATGTTAAATATATTACTTAGGACAGACAAATTAGCATCAATTAACCTTTACTTGAAATATATTTATTATACTATATTAATTTATATATTAATAAATTAATAAATATATTTATTAATTATATTAATTAATCCAAATTATGTTTTGCTCAATTTTATTAACATTCAAAAATTAAGTTGTCATCTTTTTTATAAAGCATTAAATAGCTTTACTATTCAGGATCCAGTGACAAATCAGAAGCTATAGTAATTCCCTGAAGAAGGACTCTTGTGGTAATATATACATCTGATATATATGGTAATATATAAGCATCTGATTTGAAAAATTCAAAATGATCCAAAACTTTGAGGGCCAATATGATACTACAAGTGGAAAATTTCACACCCTAAAACTTTGTTTCATGCACAAAATTATTAAAAATATTGTATACAGCTATATTCAGGCTATGTGGATATGGTATATAAGAAACAAATGAATTTAGTTTTAGACTTGGATCCCGTCCCCAAGATATTATGTATACGTAAATATTCCAAAATCTGAAAAATAATGAAATCTAGAACATTTCTAGTCCTAGTCATTGTAGATAAAGGAAGGATACTAACCCTTACTAAATATCAATCTGGGCATTTTGAAGGAAATTTACTTAAGAGTTGGCCTAAGACATAAATGTGAGATAAAAAGAAAATATGAGCCCTATTTCTCTTAAGRGAATTGGGATTTTTCTGAAAACTTCTCCACTGCTTTCTAAATAAGAGTTATTTGGGGCAACTCACATACTACAGTGAATACTCAGCAGGACTAGCGAGGAATAAGAAGCTCTTGAGGATCTTGTAAATTGTGGAAATAGTCACGTGTAACATAAAGTAAACATGGAGGAGGTATGACCAGAAAGGGTTTCTTGATTTAATTCAGGTGGGCTTTAAGTTGGTGTGAGGGAGAGGAATAGAATGAAAAGGGCTTCCAGGCAGAGAAAAAACATGACCAAAGGTGCACCATGGTCCTTTTCAAGGACTAGTAGATAGGCAAGTTTTCAGGATAACGGAACTTAGAGGCCATTTTACGAAAGACTGAGAAACAGGCAGGAGGCTTCATATGTATTTTAGTAGGCATTGGAGACCTATTGAAAGTTTTTGAGGGTGAGGAAGGAGGCTTTTTGAGAGGTCTGGAAGGATGGTAGATAATGGCAACCAAAGGAGAGTAACAGCAGTATAATAGAAAAGGAGAAACTGGTTGAAGAGCTGCTGGATAGTCATTATATGAAGTGCCTTGTGGGAATAATGTTTAATTTTTAGGCCAGATTATCAACACCGTGTGGGGAGCTTTGAACTAATTGTGAGCAAAGGTAGTAGATTTAGGAGAAAAGASTGAACAGGGGTACTTTAAGAGGCCTTTGTCAGTGCCATGGTAGTTAGAGGAAAGCAACTGGACGGTGACTAATGTGTGGGCTGATTTTGTATCAGATATGAAGTAATGAGGAGTTGGGCCAGTGGCACTCAGACATGGAGTGAGGGGGTCATAGAGATTGATTTTTGCCCCCAGTCAAAGTGGGGCATTTGGCAATGTCTAGAGACATTTTCGGTTGTCATAACTGTAGAGGGGAAGGCCGAGTTCTACTACTGGCATGTAGTTAGTATAGATCATAARTTCTACTAAATATCCTGCAAGGCACAGGATAGCACCCCACAACAAGAATTATTTTCTCCAAATGTCGGTATTGCTGACACTGAGAAATCCTGACCTGGATTCTGGTGGTAGCAGTGGAACAGAAAATGAGGATARAGATACAATAGTGATTATGAAGATGAACTTGATAGGTCTGGGTTGCCTGGCATTATTTAGGTGGGAGAAGAATGGGACAAGAATTATACAGTGTTGGGTACCACTCACAACTAGAAAAGGGCAAGAAGAAGGCCTGACTTTTTAAAAGAGATAATGGTGAGTTTGATGTCAGGCATTTTGAGGTGTTGGTGCAAATCTACAGAGATAGTTAGAAGGGGGATTTGTCKATGATGAATGTTAGTTCTTACAGTGAAGTTCACATTTGGGGCGTCTTCCTCTGTCTTCCTCATGTAATTGTTGGGGGTAGGGGCTAGACAGTGTCTCACACAGTGGGCATGCACACACACATCAGGGCCTTGATTGATCCAGTAGTTTTTAGTATTGTTAATAAGCATCATGAGAGAGGGCTGAGTCATCTGGAGGAATGAGTGTAGAGAACAAAGAACATAGAACCAGAGCTGACAGAGGAAGGAGCCGGCATTTATTGGGTAACTAGAGAGTCCATTTACCAAGCAAATCATTTTCATTCTAGAACTCATTTGATYCTTGGCACCAACCCTATGAAGTGGGTATTCTGGTTTATTAACCAGAAACTTGATAGGCAGAGAAGTTAAATAACTTATTTATAAGTAGTGAGTATTTCTCTCTTACCATCATTCATTGTCAACTTCTAGCTCTATCTTCCCTTCACTGTTAATGTGATTCGGGGGCAAGGTAGGGAATAAAATTCWGTTAGATTTTGATTTGCCCATACTGTTTATGAAGAGTAGGGATTTATTTGGTTTTGAGTTATATGTGAATTTCCTCTTTTGCATAGTAAAGAGTTTAATGTATGAAAATGTCTTGAAACACAACAACTTCAAAGGAAGAGGGAGATTCTTGTTATCTTGTACACACATAGAGACACAATTTTATATTATACCTGTCAGACATCTTAAGGTATGTTCATTACACTTGTTTTAAAATAACAGTGAAAAACCTATTTTGGATTAAAGGGTTGGATTTTGAAGACAATGTCAATAGACAAAATGAAGGAGTTAGCACTTTGTAAAATTGCTCCATGCCAAGGAGCTGAATAAGGGGGAGAAAAATCTGGCTCATAGGATTTAATCATAAGGAATTTTAATGTGCACTGAACAAGAAAATATTTAATGTTGTGTTTTAAAACAACTTTTCAGAACGAATTTACTTTTTAAAGATTAGGAAAGGTATATTATTTGACATATTATCTGTTTTCTTAGCTTTCACTTAAAAAAAATCTCTATTCTCTATTTTGGGAAATATCTTGAAACTGCATACAGACTTTGAATACCTAATAGCTTGATAAAAGGTTCTAGTACTAACTGTTCTTTATTGAAGTTTGTAAGCAGTGTACTCTATTAATGAAGCTGAAACTCTTTAGATCATTTGTGTTGAGCAATATCTTGGTAACATTTGAATTTTGTGTATAAATTTAATGGGTGAAGGCAACAAAAACAAAATATAACCATTTTGTCTTTCCTGAAACTTGTTCAAGTTGGTTATAAGTTCTGTTCATTAGTGTT